GACTCTTTGTTGTAGAGGAGCTGTCCTGCACATTGTAGGATGTTTAGCAGCATCCCTGGTCTCTACCACTAAAATGCCAATATCAGCCACCCCCACAACTATCTTGATACCCCCAATGTGTCTTGATACTTTTCCAAGTTTACGAAAATCACCCCTAGGTAACAACCATTGTCTAGTGATAGAATGAAGATAAGTGAACAGGCCATCAGTATTGAAAGAACCCAGAGAAGAGTTTCAGAAACAGTGAAGTAAGATTAGTAAAACCTGTCTCCAGTGGAGCCTGCATAAAGCCTTCTGAATCTCCAGGAGATTTCCCTCTTCCCACCCCAAGTATTAGTCAACTTTCTGTTGCTGTGACAAAATACTTGAGAAAAACAACATAAAGCAGGAAATATTTATTTGGGCTCATGATTTCAGGATTTTAGTCCATAGTTAGCTGACTTCATTGTTTCTGGACCTGAAGTGAGTCAGACATGGCGGTGGAAGGGCGTGGTAGAGCAAAGCTGCTTAACTCATGGTAGCTGAGAGACAGAGAGCAAGAGAGAGGAAAGGGCCCAGGGACAAGATGCAGTCACTAAGGACATGCCCCCAAGGACACACTCATTTCAACTAGGTCCTATGTCCTAAAATTCCCACCACCTCCAATATTCTACTCAATTATGAAATTTACTTACTTAAATTTTTTTGTGATGCTGAGGATTGAATCCTGGTCCTTGAGCATGCTAGGCAAGCAATCTACCATTGAGTTATATCTCCAGGACTATATTTCATTTTGATTGTGAATTCATCAGTGGATTAATTCATTGATAAGATCAAAACCCTGGTGATCTAATCACTTCCCAAAAGTTCCACCTCTGAACATTATTGCATTGGGAACCACGACTTCAGTGCAGGAGCCTTTGGCAAACATCCCACATCCAAACTATAACACCCTCCTTCCCTCATTGCCAGATACCAATAGATGTGGGTACCAGTTTGATGCCTTGTTTCTCTGTGGGCCTGCACAGGCCTACTGTGTTTAAGAGAACTGAATTGAAAACTGAAGGCCCAAAGCTGTGGTCAGTTACTCATGCATAACCCCAGAAATATCCCATTTATGAAAGCCATGCCTAACAATCTGAGGAGGGAAATCTTGGTTCTAGAGGTAGACCAAAATTTGCTCGGAGTATATGAAAAGATTTAATTCAGAATGTTGATTATAGTTTATCCATTCTGCAAGAAATGCATTGTTAAAAGTCTCTTTACAGCAATATCTAGGATTCCTTTCTTACAATCTTATCCCTAAACCCAAAGTAAATATTGTTACATCCCCTCTTTTCCTTTCAGCATGCCAGCTCAATTATAGAGTTCTGGTGGAGATGAAACTATTTTAGTTAGACTCAGGGGTTATGAGGGATTTGGGAACAAAAAAAAAAAGTTAGAGGATAAATTTCTTCAACCTTAGCTCTGCAGCCTGTGCATGTTATTGTTTATGCGCAGTCATGAAGGAATTTCACCCAGGAGAAACGAGCAACAACTGTTCCTGTTTAGCTCTCTGAGAAGGCCCTATTTGGGGTGGGGGGAGAGGATTAGATCATAACATAAGTCCATTAAGAATTTTAGAACAATGTCATCCATCACACAGGCCCTGCTGTAAAACCTAAATTTTTACATGTGAGGTCTCCTCAGTGGAGAATCATTATTTTTAAATCACTTGGGGATTCTGAGTGACAAAGTTTAACCACAGGCAGTTGACTGGATGGAACTCTTCCCAGAAGTGCATATACTTCTCGTATGATGCACACTATTGAGACCTTTAAATGCCTTTGGACTTAGTTCAGTGAATCAAACCACTACTTCTTGAAAGTGGGTGAATTTTGTGGTTAGATACCCCTACTTCATAGGGTTCTTGAGGGTTTAAAATGAGTCATATAAATGAAGACTTTTTGTCTTTTGGAAAATACTATACAAATGTACAAATGTAAGGTGTCACAGTTGTTATTGCTGCCAATAAGGCTGATGGGACCAAACTCCCAAGAGAGCTCATTTTGCAGTTAGTGTATTGAATGTGCTCTGTATACTGAATTAGTTTTCCTTGAAAACACATGGTCAGGGCTGGGATGTAGTTCAGTAGTAGAGTACTTGCGTGGCACGTGTAAGGCTCTGGGTTTGATCCCCAGTACTGCCCACCCCCAAAAGGAACAAAAACACACATTTACATTTTCTTAGTAATTTATTGAAGTGTAACTTTAGCCCATCTCCTCATCCCAGAGCCACCATGATGCACAGCTCCTGGGGCACCAGTCAATTATAGTGGCTCTGATTCATCTGGTGGTTTCCCTCCAGCTGGACCATTGAGGACACATGTTGATCAGCCTAGTTGACATGATTGATAGTGAGAATTTACAATTCTGTTTCCTTTCAACTTGTCAACTTTTATTTTCATAAATATCAACTCATATACTGCTAATTTTGGTCAACTTTTCCCAAGTTCCTTTTGCTTTTAGGGGGATTCAGACACAAGGTGTGTGTTCCTTCTTTTTTGGATGGAAATGGAGATGGAAAAGGCACTACATACCACTTTATTTTTTTTGGTAGTGCTGGGGATGGAACCCTGGACATCATGCACACTAGGCAAATGCTCTACCTCAGAGCTGTATCCAGTGGTAGCTCACTCAATTACTAACCCTCCCTCCAATTTTGGATCCTTCTGCCTCAGCCTCCTCAATAGCTGGGATTATAGGAATGTGCCAACACTGGCAACATGTTATCACTTTTATTTATTTATTTTTATGGCTTACTTAGTTGATCTATTTATTTTAATTGATTTTTTTAAAAAAATAAATGATAGCAGAATGCATTATAATTCTTATTATACATATACAGCACAATTTTTCATATCTCTGGTTATATATAAAGTATGTTGACACCAATTTGTGTCTTCATACATGTACCTTGGACAATGATGTCCATCACATTCCACCATCCTTGCTAACCCCCTGCCCCCTCCCTCCCTCCCACCCCTCTGCCCTATCTAGAGTTCGTCTGTTCCTCCCATGCTCCCCTTCCCTACCCCACTATGAATCACTTTTAAACTCTAAAGAAAAGGGTGGAGTCCATGCCAGGGCCCAGCACCCTTTTTCAAGAAAGGACCAGGTAGAGAATTTTTTTAGTTGGGAGCACATATAGTCCGTGTCTCAACTCCTTAGTTTTACTGCTATAGCATGAAAGAAATCAGAGATATTATATAAATAAGCATGGCTGTGATCACATGAAACTTCATTTATGGAGTAAATTTGAATTTCATACAACTTGTGTCATGAAATAGTCATCTTCTTTTGATTTTAAGAAATCATTTCAAAATGTGAAATTCATTCTTAGCTCAGAGGCTGTGGTATCCTGGCCCTTGGTCCATGCTGTTCTGTTGAGGGCAGAGAGTCTGTGATTGAGCATTTACTTAATCCCTGTTCTCCAGCTAAGGACAGAGTGACACTCACCCGTCATTTAGCCTGTGAGGCAGGAGTCTGGAATTGTGTTTCAACCCCTGCCCTGATGCTTTCCAGCTGTGACTTTGGGCTAATCACAGGATATCAGAATCTCAGGCTGCTTATTTGTAAAATAGTGATAAAAATTCTTTTTCTGCCTCCCTCACGGCACTGGGGTGAACCTCAAACGAGATCTTGGCTCTGTAGCACTTCATGAACATGAAGCATTATAGAAATAATGAAGCACACAAACATTTTAAGAGTCTTATTCCTTGTTTCCTCCATCTCCAAAAAGTCCATCAACATTTTAATCGACTTTTGCGAAACAGTCCTGAAAGATCAACTCTATGCCTCTATGAGGAAATAGAGATGAGTAAGAACTAGACCTTGTCTTCAGGGCAGGAAAAAATGGCAGGAATCTCTGTCCTCCCAGCAAATTAGAGTGTGATGTGGCCCAAGAAGAGGGATGAAATGAGCAATGTGGAAGAGACCAGCCCTGCTGGGGGGCCAGGGTGGAAATAGAGAGAGTCAGGGAAGGCCTCCCAGCAAAATTTCCAACCAAGCAGGTCTAGGAGAGGAGGCATTTCAGGAGATGACTTGCAAAGTGTGATGACATGGAGCAGCATGGGAAATTTGGGGAACTTATATAACTGAATGTGAGAAGGCAGCATGGGTGAAGGACCCCCATTAAGGGAAAAACAGCTTGAATTTTTTTTCCTGTGATCAAAGAGGAGTCATCAAAGAACTTAATCAGGACAATAACATGATCATCTCTGGGCTCTGGAAAATTCACTCTGGGGGCTAATGTAAAGGAGGTAGTATTGGTGGCTGCAGAAGGTCTTGGTAGACAAAGAGACTTCTTTAGCAATGCAGATGAGTGATGAATCATAAGACAGTAGTATTATAGTCAACATGGCACACACCTTTGATACCAGTGAATTGGGAGGCTGAGGCAAGAGGGTTGCACGTTTGAGGCCAGCCTGGAAACTTAGTGAGATCCTGTCTCAAAATAAAATGCAAAAGGACTGGGGGGTGTAGCTCAGAGGTAGGCTGCTTGCATGAGACCCAGGGTTCAATCTCCAGTACCAGAACATATACTCAAAGAAACAATAGCATTAAAGGAAGAAAAATAAAGATGCAAAAAGTGTAAATTATTAAATTAAAAGAATATTTTAAACACGGAATAAAATGTAAATACACTTGGATAAGCACAATATTTAAATATATCGAATCTTTTTGTAAGTAAATCAAAGACACATATACCATTAGATTTAAATTCCCTAAGTTTAGGTGTTTGCCTTTTGAATTTTCTTCAAATTGGAGTGCCTGTATAATGGACCCTTAGCAGAATACAATGCTTAAAATTTCTGTGTCACCCATGTTACAGTTTTGATATCTGAAGAGGGTCATTGACAGAGTGTTCACCAAGTATTAATAGGAAAAGTGTCAGCTTCTGCTGAGATTTTGAAAACCCTCTGCTCAAATCCTGGCTTCTTCATGGAATCCATTGTGACTTGACTTATGCTTTTGTTTCAGAAAAAGTTCCAAGCATTAAGGAACAACAAAATCCAGTTCCTCCACGTAAGTCTTTCTGCAAACTATTTCGAAAGAAGCCTCTTGGGCTTTTGTAAGAATGAATTGGTTAGTGAACATTTGCCAAACTTGGAGTTTGATAAGGAGATTTATGTTCTCATCCTCCTTTCCCCTTTCCTCTTTTTTTCCCCTCATAATTTTTTCCTTTCCTCTGTCCTTATTTCATCATCTTCTTTCTTCTATCCTTTCTGCCTTTGCAGAAATATTAATTAAAATATTAATTTGTTGACCTATTTAACATGTGTGGCCTGAACAAGAAGGCAGTAACTTAGCTTTAGAGAGATAAGCTAATGATTTGCATGCGTCTATCTGTTATGATTTGAAAGCATTGACGTATAGCTGTGCGAGTACTTAGCTTTAAGTGTTGGTCAACAATGTTTACCTGCTCAGGGAACTAGTTGCTACATGTTCAAGACTGTCTCTAGTCAAAGAGGTGGGGTAGAGGGGACCAGAAAGAACTTTAAGAAAATAATAGAGCAGTTACTACGGAATGATGAACTGAAATTTATGTCAGCCAATTTCAACATTTTGTATGGAAGAAAACATTAACAAGAAATATTTTAGCAAGTTACCCAAGATTATCATTGGCACTGAGGCAATCAGCTTCCCAGAAACCCACAGAGAGTTCTAGATGATACAGCCTTGTAAGAAGAATCTGTATGTGAAGATTCCCAGTATTAGTCTCCAAGGCTGACCCTATAACATACATGTGACAGTCAGGAGAGTGCTTTGTACAAAGTCATAAACTGTTCCCCAAGATTATGGAACAATATCATGACTTATAAAGAGTGAGCCATTTGGGGGAGGTGCTGGGGTTGTGGCTCAGTGATAGAGTGCTCGCCTCAAATGTATGTGGCCCTGGGTTCAATCCTCAGCACCACGTAAAAATAAATAAAATGAAGATATTAAAAAAAAAAGAAAGAAAGAAAGAAAGAGTGAGCCATTTGGACACGATCTCTCATACTTACCTAGTTTGATTTTCATGGAATTTGTAGATGTTTTCATTAAAAACTTGTAATTATGTTTCATCTTTGCTTCCATAGGCATAAAAAGGCAAGTTGTCTTTTAATATCTGTTCTAAGGACTAGATTCAGCTAAATAGGTTAATGGCTCCGTTCACAGGAACCTCTGTAGGTCTCTTCCCAGTTCTTGTCCTTGCTAGGGAACCCTCATATTCATTCTGTGTAGGCAAAGCTATCTTCATTTTTCAGAATTTAAATGAACACACGTAGGGGCACATGCTAGAAGAGCAGTGCCCAGACTTGGGAGTGTGGATCCTTCCAGACTGTTCTCTACCATGACATAACTTTCCCTGAGCTCTCTCAGTGCTGGGGCTCGAGAGTCACATTTGACTACTACTGAATCTTCAACAATGAAGTGAGTTGAAAAGCAAAGAGACTTAATTTATATAAATTAAGATCAGTTGCTTCTGACTAGAGTGAAAAGTAGAGATAGTATTGAGGGGAGAGACCTTATATCTTTAATTTATACTAAAAAAACAAGAGATCTTTAAAATTTTAGTCTATCAAAACCTTCTCTCCTTTGGACACTGATTTTAACTTTTTATAAGTGACTCAAAGAGGATAGTTTTCTTAAGAGAAAGGAAATATCCTATTTCTGTGGCCTGGAATTAATTTCAAATATAAAATTCTTTGCCAAATGGAGGAACAATTGGTTCTATTTATGTTTTGCTGACTGTGAAGCTGACATCACTCCCTACAGAGAAGTATTTATGTTCCCCTTGTAGAAAGATCACGGCTGGAGATGTGTTAAAGAGTAGGCTCCTTTAAATGACATGATACGTAGTTCTTAAGATTGAGGATTTAATATAAGGTGGGTGAAATGTTATAATCCGCAGCCATAGTTTACTCTTGTTCTGTACTTTCTTCTCACCCTCTTTCTTCCTTTTTTCTTTCAAACTTTTAAATATTCATGAAAGTACTATAAAGCAATCTACGTATGTATTTTCTGTGTAGTGTGTCTCACTATTGGAGGTGTTCGATGAATAATAAGCAATGAGTCAGATTTTTTAAAATATATTTTTTAGTTATAGATGGACACAGTGTTTTATTTATTTATTTTTATGTGGTGCTGAGGATCAAACCCATGCAAGGCAAGCGCTCTACCACTGAGCTATAACCCCAACCTGAGTCAGATTTTGATGATGAAAGTTCACCTTATTTTCCAAAGCATCTTAACCTGTGAATTTTCAAGACACTCTCCATCAAATAGTTCTCAGGGGGATGATGAGACCACAGACTTAACATTTTACAAAATTTACAAATTTTATTTTTTAAATTAGTTTGTTGTTCAAAATAAATTGCAAACTGATAATATTTGGAAGCTTTATAATTTCATTTTCCATTGACCAAAAGTTGCAAGTAACAAAATACAGTATATTTTATTGGAATCCTTATTACATTCTCAAATTTTATTAGTCAATGCTCAACCTTTATGATGGTGCTTGTAAAACAAATATAAAATTCAATGTATGATGTAGACTAACTTAGGGCCTGTGTATTGGTTTCCCTCTTTTATAGAAATTTTTCATGGTCTGGACACCCTAACCGTGATGGGCATTGCGTTTGCAGCATTTGTGATCGGAGCACTCCTGACGGGAGCCTTGTGGTACATCTATTCCCACACAGGTTAGTGTGACTATGGACTCTCAGTTGGTACACAGCCTGTGCCTGCCATACAGTAGACACTCAGTGTTTTGTTGGATGGATGAATGAATGAAAGTGAGAGAAGGTTCATTTCCGCTCTTCTCATATTTATGGATTTGACCTAGATTGGATTTTATAAAAATATAATTTATTCTTGGATGCATTGGCCCATGCCTATAATCCTAGCAACTCATGAGGCTGAGGCAGGAGGATTACAAATTCAAGGCTAATCTCAGCAATTTAGTGAGAGCCTGTCTCAAAATTTTAAAAAAGGATCAGGGGACTGGGATTTTGGCTCAGTGGTAAAGTGTCCCTGAGTTAAATCTCCAGTACCACCCTCCCCAAATATATATATATATATATATATATATATATATATATATATAAATAAGTTGTTTTTACAGTTATAGAAAAGGAATGTTTAAACTATTTCTGCTCATAACAATCATGACATTGCTGAAGTTTAGCTTCTAATAAAGCTATTTTATCTTTAGAGTTTAAAGGAAGTTAATGTAGACAAACTGGAAATATAAGCAGTTCCTCCAAAGATAAAGACTTCAGAATAGACATATAAATGTGCAGGGAGTTAAAAAGGAAGCCAGGAGTTTACTACCACATCTGCCAAGGTGTTGAACACTGTCCACTGGAGTACCTAATCAATGACTTAACCCAAAATTTCTCAACCTTTTTTTTTGTGTGTGTGTGTGTATGCTGTGTTTATCTTCTTTGATAAACATAAAATTCTCATGTCTTTCTATAAATAGCTAAATTTTCAAAATTTTTTTATGAATCAAAAAGAAATAATGAAACAAAGCACTTCATTTTTAAGCTTAGCTTCCCAAGCCCCTCAAACTCCAATGTGCTCCCAACCAAGTCCCAGGCATGAAAGCTATTGGCCTGAACTAGAAACCTGTTCTGATGCCAGAACAGAATGCAAGCTTAGCAAGGGGATCTCTATTTCAGTGGGGAAGGAGCCCTGGACTGCTCTCTTGCTTCTTTCCTAGTTTCCCTGCAAATATGGGAAGGAATGGCATGCATTTTGAGACATGCCTAGGGAGCTAGCTGGTCTTATTTGCTCTTGGGTACTTGTTTGCACTGTGAACCTGTGTCAACAGTGCTAGATGGATCATTTTGAGGCAAGAGGCAGTCTCAGCCTCTGTATTTAAAACTTTATTCTCCGTTGACCACTGAATGCTCTGATCTTTTGCCTCACCTTGAGTCATTCAACCAGCCCAGCTAAAAGGATGACCAATTTAAAGGAACACTAAGCACTACTAAAGGACATTTTGAGACACTACATTTTTACTCTCTTGACACAGACATCCTGTGACTTAAAATTTCAAACTCTTTTTCATTCAAATTTTTGCTTCAGATACTACACCCCCTGACTAAATGTTTTAGAAAGGAAGGAACAAACCCTTTTGTGCTTCACATGGGAAATTCACCCAACCCAAAGCCAACCTCTTGGCAAAAACAATAATAGGGCTCTGAGTCCTCAAATTATTGGTCTTCATTAGCAACCTTTGAGTGAAGTATGTTTCATGTGAGAGAAAGAAAAAAATAAGGCTCTTACGTGTAATGATTCTAAGTATTATATAAACGTCAATGAATCAGTTTAGGGATATTCATTCTCATGAACAGTTTATAAAAGGACCAGAAGGGACGACTTTTAACTGAGTAGTATTTTAGAGTAAATCATTTTTGTCACAGGAATACTGACATGTTCAGATCTCAAACAAAGTTCTTCATAACTTTTTCCAACCTCCTGCGTGGCTGAGAGGTTCTTGGGCTGTTGGCAGTCTGTGTTATCTCTTGGGAATGCACTTGAAAGTACTCCAAGAAGACTGTGTAGCCCTGAGGATTTTATACAGCCTAGTCACCCACAGATGCTTTCCATGTGCCTGCTCAACCACCAACTAGTCTTGGTCATAGCTCACCCTCAAACCCTCACAGCTAATCGTGGACCAGGAGGCCAGATCCAGGCAGAATACAGGGCAATTAAATGGTGCTCACTATGAGAACATGACCCACTGAAACCCACCCCCCACTCACCCATGATCCTAGACTCTTGTCCACAGCCAGATGCACAAACCTGGTAAGAAGCAAAGTGTAGCAATGAGATAGCCTATGTTGCTCCTTGAACTTGGATGGTTATTGTTACTAATACCCTGTCTCTAAAACCAGGGGATTTGAAAGTATTTCTCATACAGAAATAGATTTGTAAATAGATTAAAGGAAAAATGGAAATGATTCCTGTGATGCTTTCCAGCAAAATTATGCCAATTCAGAAGGTAAAAGGTATATAGACATTGTCATTTGGGCTTAAAATCTGTTGGCATCACTTACAATATAGCCTCAAGATCACTTTTTATTCAAAGCTGTAGCCTCTGGTTCATTTTGCAGACTGTTCATAAGAAATCCCAGTGTCATAGAAGCATGAAAAAGGCTTTTATTTCCCTCTAGGGTTAAGTCTCCTGCCAGTTCTGGTTTAGTTTTCTATATATTTATCATGAATTCATCTGCCGACTCTGTCAGTTATCTCAGTCTCCTCTAATGCTTTCAGACATATCAGGTGTTGTACTGATTCATTTTATTTTTCAGTAAATCTTCTGAATTTTGAAATCATTCATAGTCCTCTAGCTCTGAGAATTGCTATTGGCAAGTTCAAGGTCATTCAGATTCTTGATTCCCTTTGTATGTGGCCTAATTTTTCTCTCTGAAAGAAATTCTATAGTAGAATCCCTTGATTTAGGTATATTTTCATACATGATACTGAGCACCGATTGAGCCCTGTCCTTCAATGCTGATACTAAGATCTTATTTAGAATTCCTTCTTTTCCTCACTCCTGTTTTATATATTCTCTTATTTTAGAAACGATTTTATTTGAAAGTGGAACCTCTTCACTGGTCTTTGAATTTTCCTTTCTCTTTGGTTTTTCCATCTTTTTCCTTTCTTTATTTCTGGGAGATTTCCTCATCTTTATCTTTCAGTCATTTATTGAGTTGTTAATGCATTGATTTTTTTTTTATTCCAATAATTTTTCCTATGGATTTTTTTTTCTTTTTTAAAGTCTATCTGAGGTCTTGTTTCCCACCCAGAAGGTGTATGTTGGGAGATCTTTTAATGAGCACGGATTAAAATAAACTGACATGGAGCTGGGCACGGTGGCCCTGTAATCCCAGCAACTCTGGAGGCTGAGGGAGATTGATTTCAAGTTCGAGGTCAGCCCCAGCAATTTAGCAAGGCCCTAGGCAACTTAGCAAGCCCCTTCTCAAAAAAAAAAAAAAAAAAAGGAAGGGCTAGGAAGGTAGCTCAGTGGTAAAGTATCCCTGGATTAAATCTCTAGGACCATAAAACAAAAACAAAAGCAAAAACAAAACAAAAACCTGACATGGCAACAAATGATATTTGGCAAATAGACACTGGAAAGCAAATATTCAGACTTCCTGGACAGGGTATGGTACCAGTCCTTTTCCTGAGTGTGGATAATTAAGTTATGCTCTGGAGGAGACAGACAGTCTTGTTCACTGGTGCTGGAAGAAGCAAAGCCACTTGCTTTTAGCTGCTGTCAGGCCAGCCAGTGCCCGAGAGAGCCCAAAGCATGTTCACCCAGCACTTTCTGAGTGCAGTTCTTGCACTGTACTGGTGCTGACATTCCTGGAACTCTTGGTTTCACCCTCTTCCTCCTGGTGAGGAAGGGCAGGGTCCCAGCCTGGTGTAGTCTGGAGATATAGAAAAATCTTACTGCTTCTTACACAGAAGCTCAGCTATCCCCCTTTAGCCCTATATTCCCTCTCTCTTGTTCCTGATGCCATTTCCTGAGTTTCTGAGGACTCTGTGACACAGATTGGTTGTTCCTTAGCCTTCCCACTGTTGGCTTAGGTTTCCGCTCTCTTAAGTCAGTTATTCTCCTATTTTTTTCAGCAGCCTCCAATACTTTATTGCTGTTGTCTTCACTCCTGTTATCTTTGTTTTTATGGGGTTATGCCTTTTGAAAATTTATTCACTGTCATTCTGGTGAAATTTACAGAGGGAACACCAGTCTGTGTGTGCATACAGAACACAGTCTCTACACTAAATCTTGCTTTGGTGTTTAAAAAATCAGCTGCTCTAGAGGGGTTCTTGGGAAATTACTATCTGCTTCAAAATCTCCTTTTCACATAGGGAAGAACAGAGCCAGCAAACTGAAGCAATTATGCAGAGTTACATAGTTAGAGCAGTCAGGCCTGGAACCTACTTTCTGGATTTGGAGTCTTTCTATTCTGTTGTTACATATTCAAAGGACATGTAGTTGTAATACTTTCATCTTTCTCTTGCATAGCAGAGAATAAACTTATGATTCACATTTCTAAAAATTTTTAATAATGATGTATTTGATATTGCTTTCTCACCACAAGTCCATCAGCACATAACAGACTTGAAGAGCACTCCTACTAATGGATAGCCAGGCTTTGTGTCCAGCTATGAAAAATGCCACCAGAGTGAAAGCAGTAGGAGAAAGCAGGTGGATTCACATGTATTTTGATCATTCTTTTTGCCTCTTTTTAGTATACGCTAAGTTTTGCTTGTTCGCTCATTTATTCATTCTTTCACTCAGTGAATCTTTTTTGAGCTGCCCTTCAGTTTGAACACTGTTTGTTCTAGCCACTGGCAGCACAACAGTGAATGGTACAGAGCCTTGCTCTTATGGAGCTTACATATTTTAGAAGCAAGAGAATAACCAGACAGACTGGCAATAAACAGTGATTCAGGTAGAAACCCAAATATGAACACAAATGTCAACCATTAGGAAAGCAACAACTTAGGGAATTTTGTCAGAAAGATGGAGAACTGGCAAGACTAGTCTCATCAGAACAGGAAGTAGTGTTGTTTTTAAGAATTAAGTTTTTTTCCAAAACTCTCACAGTAACTGAGGGGAGCTTGAGAAGAAGGGGGAAGGATTTGAATGGTCAGAAGGTTTGGCGGGGGCTTTGCTCCTTGA